TGCAAAAGCAGGAGGAGACCTGGGGATGCGCCTTGTCCTCGTGATGCTGAAGGACACCGGGATCCATGTGTTGGTATTGTTGGAAGAAAACGGTGGTGAAGTATTTTGGGTTTTTCATGCACAGTTTTAAGTGCATCCCGGCTAACGGATAAAAGACGGGTTTGCAGGGGGAATGGGCTGCATGGAAGTGCATCCAGGAGACGTCTTCTGGGCTTTGGATGCCTTTGCGACGTTGAGGGATTTGCGGTGACTCATTTCACAGCGGTGTCGCCGGGCGCAGGTTTGGCATCGATGCAGTTGAAGCCGTGGCCAACCTCGTGACTCCGTGCCATGGGGCGCTCTCGCGTGCCCACGTGCCACCAAGCCCCCCCCAAAAAGTGGCCCTGGGCCTAATTTAAATCTGTGAACTCCCTAGTGGTCCTCACTGACCCTGCTGGACCTCTGACCGGAGCCTGGACATTACCGAGCACCGTTTCCATCCCCTGGTGAGTAACTTTAAGCGAGTGGCATTTGCCCACCCTGGTAAAACGCTCGTCTCTGCGGTACATTTGAAACCTGACTTGTGGGTCGGAGCTGAATGAAGCCTCCGTATCGAATTCACTCCGATCTAGACTTTGATTCCAACTGGGTCTGGTTTTACTCCTGATGGGAATGAGGCTGAGGCCGTCAGCGCAGTTCCGTATCCGCGATAACCGTGTTTCACCCCGGTGCCTTTTAGCCTGGGAAACCAGAAACCTCCTGGTGCTGCAGTCCGCACGCAGTGGGTCAGTCTGGAGAAAACCTTGAACTGTGTCTGCTGTTCCTTAAAGCCTCAGCTGTTCAGCAAGGACTTCGGAAGATAAAAATTTTGGAATAGTCAAATTAATTGCCTGGCTTTTGTGATGAGGCTCAGGAATTGCGGGACACCTGGATGGACTGATGAAAATCCATCAGCCGAGTGTCAGGAACAGATCACAGCGTTTTTCTCGGGACTGAAGTCTGGATTTGTTCAAAACCTCAGAATGACACCATGTTCTCGCTGTTACTTGAGGTACGTTAGCACGGTTCTGAACAGGAAACCAACACATGTTCTCATTTAATCTTTATTGATTTTTATTTTTTTACAAGTATAGAATCTCATTTAAGTCGGATAGCTATCGGCATCCAGCAATCTGCGTATTCCTCCTTCAGAGATGAAACAGAGGACACTAATGTCTCGTCGAGGAACGGACTTGCCTTGCTCTCCTGCTGTTCCAGTTACGCTTCGACGACACCAGTCCCTTTTCGTCCGCGGGGAGGGGAGCGACGGCCGGGAGGCAGCGCCCCGGGAAGGCTTCTCCCGCGTCTCGGGCTGGAATCGTTCTCGTCACACGCAGAACAAGGCAAAGCCTTCTCCGTAAAGCCATCCTTGTCCGGGAGGTCGAACAGATCGCCGTTTTGCGCAGAATTCTAGAATGCAACATAACCTTGAGGACATAATGAAGTGATTTAGAAATGGGCTAAGGCAGATCACGACCATACTTAGAGCTGAGTAATCAAGTGGATTTACCTACTTCCAATTTACTGGTTGACTGAATATTAGAAAACACAGCTCGGCCCCTCTGGAAGGTGGCCACGCACACGCAGTCTCCTAAACGTTTCTTTGGCTGTCCGGCGCGGAGAGGGTTAACCTCTCGCTTCTGTCTTGAGCCACGTTTGGACAAGACCTCTGTTTACCTTCCACTCACAAAAAACACCAGCGCTTTTCAGTAGTGTAAGTGTATTCCAGGACTATCGCCCCGGCATGGAATGAGTGAAAAAGGATCTTGTATTTATTTGATTTGAATAATCCAAATTTTATTTGACTTGTGGCCGACACGGACTGACTTCACTCCTTTTTTTTTTTTCGGGTCGGCTTCCTTCTTTTTTTTTTTTTTTTTCTTATTTTTTTTTCTTTTTTTTAACCTTTTAATACAGATTAAGAGCTGACTAAAAATCTCAAACACTATATACTGAGAGTCACTACGGATGTTAAAGAAAACACCAGCACTAGCACCACGACCCTGCACACCTGCCTTCCCGGCTCTTGGAAAAATCCCCCTGCCTTAGCGTAGGACCTCGTTCCTTCTGTGCTAGTGCCGCTCCCTAAGCCGCTACAGGATTTTGCAAGGAAGCAAACAAGCTAGTAACGAAATATCCAGGCTACCGCATCACAAAGCGCACTTTATTCATTAACTCTGCCAAGTGCCTTTTGGGCCTTTCCTCGGAGGATACTCATAAACCGACTGAAAAAGGGAGGGAGGCTTTACGAAAGGAAGAAACTGATAAGGAGACCTCATTCTGCTAAACCAGAGAAATGCAGATGGGGGAATCCCTGTCGAGAGAAAATGCTTTGAAGGGAATCGTTGGCCTTGCAGGTTAGTGAGGTGAGAATTAGTTGAGGTTCTGCTGTATGGTAAAGAACCAAAGTTGGCTGTAGAAGGAGAAGGGGATGTCTCCAGTCTGGTCGACTCAGAACAGCGTGTCCCTTCTGTTGTGCTTCCTGTCTGCAGTCACATTAAATTCCCCAGTAAGGCATCAGGGGTCTCCTCTCTCGCTCATAAACGTCTGGGATGATGCCATATGGTGTCTGTACCATTTTAACCGTCGTCTTCCCAAAGAGCTTCCTCTCGTAGTCTATCAGTTGCCTCCAGAAGCCCACGTTGGGGCGTATAACGGGGCGTCTTGATTTGACCCAGTTGTATGCCTCAAAGAGGGTCACCTTGTGGTACTTCATCAGGTAGGCGATGCAGAGGGTGGCCGACCTGCTCACGCCCGCGGCACAATGGACTAAGGTGGCCCCGTGCTTCCGCGCCACGCTGTTGATCTTGTCGGCGACGCTGTCGAAGTACAGGGAGATGGGGGCGTTGGGCATGTCAGCCAAAGGCACTTTCACGTATTCAAACTGGGGCCAGTTGAAATTGGGAATCTCGATGGTGGCGTTGATGATGCAGGTGATTCCCCGGGAGAGGAGCAGGTGCCGGTTGGAGGCGACGCTGCCCCGGCTCAGGTACAGCGAGGGGGTGATTTGGGCGATGCCCCCAAGGGCACCTTCAGAAAGCATTCGTGGAGCCATGAGAGTTCTCGGGGGGACCTGGGCACTCACGCTTCCATTATGGGAAGAGATCCAGCGGGATCTTCAGCCAAGGGAAGGATTGTCTGGCCTGGTGGTGCTAGGACAGCAAGAGCTTCCTCCGCTCACTCACTGCAAAACACAAGCAACGCCACATGAGCGGGGCAGCTGTCCGAGGAGACCACGTCTACGCAGGAGAACAGGGAAACCCAACTCATCCCGCTGTGGCCTGGGCAACCTCCTCTCCGCGGGGCAAGGTGGTTCTGGGTTTGCATGGTGCTCATTACCGTGGGGCCCCCAGGCATTGCCCGGACAGATATTAACAAAAAAAGTCTCCCAGCTTAATTAGCTCCAATTACTCGTCGAGGGTTTGGGCAGCCTACCCGTGGGCCTGGACAGCGTTTCACCCGGATTAGCGCGTGGAAGATGAGCTACGCCTTTTCCACGCTCAAAAGCAGCAACTTCACAACTGGCCGGAGTCCAAGGGGATGGTGAGAAACAGCTCACTGGGGCTGGATGCAGATGCCAGGGATTTAGATCACCCTGCCCTCTCCCCAGTGCCACCCTTCTCCTTTTTTAGGTGTATGCAAGGCCCCGC